AACATTCAGCAGATATACGACTGGCACAAAGAGTAAGTATCTAGTCTGTGAAGTATTATATTTTCAGTTATTTTTAAATGATGGACATTGATGGAAAAAAAATTCAGCAATTCTATGGCAATTTTACAGACTTTGAAGAGAGATTAAACTAACTATAATCCTTATTGTTTCAGTTTCTTCCTGGGAGAGCTTGAAAAGTGCCTTGAGGTTCCTGACCGGCTGGGCCCTCTCTTCGTCAAACATGTACAATTTTTAAGCTTTTTTAGGCAACCAATCAAACTTTTTTTCTGTAATATGATATTGTGCATACTTATGAACTCATCATGCCTTTCAGGAGCGAAGACTGCACATGTACATTGTTTACTGCCAGAACAAACCTAAGTCTGAGCACATTGTCTCAGAGTATATCGACACCTATTTTGAGGTGCGTAACTGAAGTCTTCAGTCTGATTTGAACATATTTTCTGCCCATTATAAAGTTTGCATTTCCTTATGAAATACATTTTGCATTCACGTTGGTATACCACCAAATTGAAATTACATAGAACATAATAAAACATTTATAATGTGATATTAAATAAATACATTAAGCATTTATATATATGAGCATCAAGGTCCGTTTTTGACCCTCTCTTGTAGGATCTGAAGCAGCATCTGGGTCACAGGCTTCAGATCACTGATCTGCTCATTAAACCTGTGCAGAGAATCATGAAGTACCAACTGCTGCTTAAGGTTTGTCCATCTGGCCCACTGCATCTCATTGTTTTAGCACTATTGACAGAGATGTTACTCTAATCTTGATTCTGATGTCTCTGTTTTGGTTTATTTATTTCCAGGATTTCCTTAAATTTTCCAAAAAAATCGGAATTGATTCAGTAGAATTGGAGGTTAGGTTTTTCTTTGTCATATACTACAATTCAAAAGTTTGGGATCAATAAGATGTTTTTGGCCTGTTGTCATGTGTCTTGCACTCAAGAAGTTTGCATTTATTTGATCAAAAATGCTGCATATTCAGTGTCACATGATCCTTCAGAAATCATTCTAATATGCAGATT